TGACGGTCCTAATGTTTCTGTATACACATATCCGAACTTTCCTTGAAAATGTTACTACCGCGATTCAGACTTCTGTCAAACGTCACCCGTTTCATTGGTATCTACAGCAACAATTTCATCAAAAACAATATTCTTCGAACTCTGCATTTGTATAAATTAACAATACCTTTTTTTTTTTTTTTTTTTCCTACCTGAGCTGATAGCCCTAGCGGCTATGTCAGCGTAACCCTAACTTTAGTAGGTGAGCTCACGGGGCTCAAACCTGACGATGTTGCTAACACTCATGAATGAATGCACCAGTAATCTGTGAACTTTCATTCCCTTAAATATCCCATACGTATTAATCAAATTAAGCGAAACAACTGAATCATTTATATCCAAAATTGTTTATAATTTGATTCTGTGACTTTGAATGCCGATCACATGTAGGTATGGCATTAATTAGAAAAGTCAACCTATAGTGGATTTAATGAAAGATTTGCCGAAATAGATTTAGATTATTCTTATTAGTGGTAGGACCTGTTGTGAGTGTGGCAGGTACCACCACCCTGCCTATTTCTGCCGTGAATCAGTAATGCGTTTCGGTTTGAAGGGTGGGGCAGCCGTAGTAACTATACTGAGATATTAGAACTTATGTCTCAAGGTGGGTGGCGCATTTACGTTGTAGATGTCCATGGGTTCCAGTAACCACTTAACACACCAGGTGGGCTGTGAGCTCGTACGCCCATCTAAGCAACAAAAAAAAGATTTAAAAAAATCGCTCACAATAATAATGAGTAAATCTGAACCGATCCGCAGACAAAATCTAGTCAGTCGATTTAGTAAGTGAGACGTTATAATGATGTAATGGTTTTCCCACAGGATACACGAATTTATTGGCCATTTAATTGTAATATTATAATATATTAAATTAATAATTATAGCTTCCATGAAATATATCATGTCATTTGGTTTCACTAGTATAGATTCTATTTTACGACGGATATATTTTAAGATATTGTTTATAAATTAAATATGGAAATTCCCCTCTAAAATCAACATAATTTTGTTATATTTAGTAATGAACTAAGTAATATATGATATAATTAATTTCATATTACTATAACGTAATAATTAACAGAAATCCAAGAGATTTTTATTCAAACTAAATTCCATGTATGTGCTTATGTATGTGTAATTGTAAATTATATCAATCAATCAATCAATCAAAAAAATTTATTTAACATAAATGAAAGTACATACTTGTTGAACGTCAAAAATATCTACCGTCAATTCACAAAAACTAGCCTCCGTCCTGAGAAGAACTGGCAAGAAACTCAGCGGGCATGTCTTTTTAATTTTAAATATTGATTTATTTAATAAATTTACATGTAAAGCAATTCAAACATGCCGTAGTTTGAATTAGTAATTATTATTAAGCAGCCATTTTTGGATCACCACTAAACTCTATCAAGCGTTAAGGAGTAAATAATAATCTATAACCATAAATTCGCATACTTTCTCTTTTGCCTAATGTAGAGTTTTTTTTATCTAATCATTAAATTTACATGTAATTTTTATAAGATTTATAGTCATCGTGGCCTAAAGGATAAGACGTCCGGTCCGGTCCATTCGTATCTAGCGATGCAACGGTATTCGTATCCCGCAGGCGGGTACTAATTTTTCTAATGAAATACGTACTTAGCAAATGTTAACGATTGACTTCTACGGTCAAGGAGTAACATCGCGTAATAAAAATCAAACCCGCAAAATTATTATTTGCGTAATTACTGGTGGTAGGACCTCTTGTGAGTCCGCAAGGATAGGTATCATCACCCTGCCTATTTCTGCCGTGAAGCAGAAATGCGTTTCGGTTTTAACAGTGGGGCAGCCGTAGTAACTGACTGAGACCTTAGAATTGATATACTAAGATCTTAGAACTCATATCTCAAGGTGGGTGGCGGCATTTACGTTGTAGATATCTATGGGCTCCGGTAACCAATTAACACCAGGTGGGCTGTGAGCTCGTCCATTCGTCTACGCAATAAATAAAAAATACTAGATTTGCGCATAGATAAACATTTTTAACACGGTCACGATAAAATCGCGTACGTCATATGTGGGTTTGGAGTTCTACCATCTATTGTGAGCAATTTCAATGATATTAAATATTTTGTTGATATTAATAAAATGCACACACACGCACACACTGCACAGCTAATAACCGCTAAACTACAGCAGTTACGATTGGGATCCCTCCGACAATAAAGCACGCTGATGCAGGGAAGAAAAGACCTAAGTTTTAAAATTAAGTGACGGTATTATACACTTTGATGATAAACAAAAATGATAGCATGGTTGCGCTTCTTGTGGTGTGCTTCCTCTCGTAGCTACTAAATTACCGCGGATGATCCGAAAAGTTTACCGGTCACCGTCCTCGTCGAACCCGTCGCTTGCGACGAAGGGCTCGACGAGCGAATTAACCCATAGACACAGCCTGAGTTTCTCGCCGGATCTTCTCAGTAGGTCGCGTTTCCGATCCGGTGTGGTAGATTCTGCGAAGCACTGCTCTTGCTAGGGCCAGTGTAAGCATCACTCCGGTTTGAGCCCCGTGAGCTCACCTATTAGTTAAGGTTACGCTGAAATAGCTTCTCAAGGCTATCTATCAGCTTTGGTAGGAAAAAAAAAACAAGAGCAGTTTCGCGGTAGCCGGCGGCTTGGCTTTTGTGCCCTTGTCATTAATAATCTACGATAAAGACCACTTACCATCATCTGAGATGTATACTCCTCTGTCTAAAGTAAAAAAAAATGAAATTTTCTAAAAAAATAGGAGATACAAGGAAATAAACATCCAAAATAAATGAAGTTAAAGCTAAAAAACGTAGGTCGTCTTCCACTTTTTATTCTTTCCAGTATTGCAATTGGCTTTTTTTAAGCGATTTTATGACCTGGTAACCAAGACGTTTAGGTCAACTCTGATTTAATTTATATTCTTATTTTTATGAAAAATTATAACATGGAGTGAAATGAAATGAAGTTGATTAATATGAAACATGGCTTGAAGTGAAATGAAATGAAATGAAACGAGATGAGATGATATGGGTATGAAATATAATCGCAGTAAAATGGTGGTCATTTACTAAAACTTTTTCAGTGGACTTTTTGGAGGATCCCGAGAAGTTACGTTCAGCGGCTTTGTTTGATTTTCCCACATTTGTGCACTTTCACAGATACTAAACAGTTAATAAACCACCGTTATTACACATTTAAACCTGAAGAAATACTAAATAGACAACATAAAAAAAATCACACAACTTCACTTTTCGCTTTCCTGCCAAAAAGTCTGCAATTGGCTTCTTGCGACGCTATTCAATTGTTGCCAGTGTCGAGTTTAGAAAAATCTGCAATAATTAAATACACACCTACAGTGTGTGCCACAGGGCAGTATTCTCGGCCCTACCCTATTTTTAATATATATAAATGACCTATGTCAACTAAATATCACAAACGGGTCTATTTACACCTATGCTGACGATACTGCTCTCGTATTTCATGGCAGTTCTTGGGAGGCAGCTTTTAGTTTTGCTCAATGTGGCCTGAACACCGTAACTGACTGGCTGTCTAAAAATCTACTGACACTGAACGTGGATAAAACTAAGTACGTCACTTTTTCCCTGTCTACGCGTGGTAAAATATCATCTTCGCCTTTTTCACTTATAGCCCACTCCTGTAACGCTCTTGGACAAACTGCCTGCGGTTGCCCCTCCCTTGCCAGGACAAATTGCATTAGGTATCTGGGTATACAGATCGATGACCTATTATCCTTTCATTCCCATATTGACGTTCTGTCGTCCAGATTACGCAAACTCACTTACATTTTTAAAAATCTGCGTCATGTTACCGACAGGAACGTACTTACACTCGTTTATTTAGCGCTCTGTCAATCAGTCACTCAGTACTGCATAGTGGCATGGGGCGGGTCTTCCAAAACACACTTTTTAAAACTTGAACGTGCCCAGAGATGTATTTTAAAAGTTGGATGGCGGCTCCCTTATAGGTTTCCTACAAATGATCTTTACAAAACCTGTAAAGTCCTTTCTGTCCGTAAATTATTTATTCTTAACCTTATTATGACTCGAAAACTCCATACGATCCGACATTGCTCGTAAGTCAGCGGCGCGGGCATGGTGTGCGTCCCACAACACTTGTTTCTACATCGTTAGCTCAACGCTTTTATGGCTTCCTAAGTAGCTTCATATACAATAAAATCAATAAGCTGATCAATATATACCCCATGACACAGACCCAATGCAAACATGCACTAACGAATTGGCTTCACGACCTAGACTACGAGCAAACAGAGAACTTACTCCAGACTGTGAAGTAATCTGCTTTTTGTTTTCGAGCCCAATTAAGCAAATAATTATTTATACCTATGTAATAGTAATAATAAACACGCATAGATGCAGATACTCACACATACACAGACACACAAACACACACACACACACACACACCCAAATACACACACATTCACACACGCACACACACGTAAAATGACCTTCTTAAAATATAACACCTAATGATCTCTCAACACTAGTCCGCAGCATCTGTTTCACGACTTAACCTAACCTAATCTATCTTAAGAAGGAGGGAGCCTGGAGATCAGTAATACAGGTCTTTGAACCTAGTACAGACTTCAGCTCTCTCAAAGGCTTACAAAATAAATTATAAGGTTAATTTATTTCCATTTGAATTTGTATGTACCTTGTACCTTTAAGAGAGAAATAAATAAAATTATTATTATTATTATTATTACCTACATATTGTTATAAGTACGATATGAAGCGATATGAGATGCAAGTTGATCAATTAGAAGAAATAGGCAGAAATAGACAGGGTGGTGGTCCCTACCCGCGCGGACTCACAAGAAGTCCTACCACCATCGCATCGACACTCTTCAAGAAGAAACAAAACTATGGATAAATCAGTGAAAAAATAAAACAAAACATTTTTTTTTCTCATAATACATTTATTTAATCCATTAAGTTTTCCTATATGATGTAAATTGTTAAATTACTATGACTAGTGAGAAAAAAGTGCCAATTCGACTATAATTATAATAAATGTATAAAATATAAACATTAATAAAATCTTAACTAAATTCGCGGCTTACTCGGGTGCTTTGCGAAAGCTCTGACATCGACAATACGATTTTAGAATATTATGCATATTTTCGTAATTATTTTATTACATTTATTTTCGAATTTATAATTATACGAATATACAATTCCACAATTATTAGTGAAGTTTTTAATAGTTAACCATTTTCCCGGTCCGTATATAATACAATAATTAATTAAATAGGAAAACTGAAATTATACTCCAGTTGACTATTAATACGTAGCGGTTAAAATACAAATAATATTCCTTTCCCTCGCTACTGTTAGAAAAGGTACTTAAAAGAGACAACTCTAAAGTCCACATTTGGTTGGAAAATAGCTCCCGGAAAAACTGAACATAAGTAAAAGATAATGCTAGAAAAAAGTCACACATATACACATTTTTGTTTATCCAGTGTTTTTATTCATTAAAATGTTATTTCAATACATACTTACGTTCGATGGTAAAAACAATAAAATATACTTTTTATTAGTCAACAAAGGCAAACGTATAACGGGGCTTAATGCCACCAATGAATAACAATTTCAACGCATTTTTGTGTTAATGATAATAAGCTTACACTTGTCATTAAAATTACACATTATCATTTTAATGACAGCTTTAGCGTCACTATCAAATCGTAATACTACTAACAAACAGAACCGACTGCATAGGAGCTTCCATGAAATAAATAAATAAAATGTTTTTTATTAGTAGTTGGAAATACACATTTGTTTGCAATACAATGCGTAATTATTGTGTCACATCCGTCAGAGCTCCGTTGAAGAATGCTCCACAAAATGGATAAAAAGATGGTTATTGACTACCGTCTGCAGTATCGATCTTGTTTAATCATTTCCTTTCTTTTATCTTGTAGTGGCAAGAGCAGCATATAGGAAGCTCAGATTGTATGGTCTCCGTACCATTTTTGCCGTCATCCACCAGGAATTCCCATACGCTGTACTTCTGCTTGCAGAAGGTTACGATGTCTGGAGTCAGATTTAGGTCCACGAAGCAAGTGCCTCCGACTTGTCTGGAAATGAAAAATAAAATAAAATTACAAGCCTTAAAAAAAATACGATTCAAAAGCGAAAGCTGAAATAAAACTTCTTTTTTGCGTTTTGTTTAGGATAATAAAGCCGTAAAATAATAATAATAAAATGTATTATCGTTGGTTATTACTTAATACGCGTGAAAATTGATAAATATAAATGGATACGCCTTGTTGTACAGAGAAGGGTGGACGGTATAAGACCGCGCGGGAGGTCACCAATGTCCGGTCCGACCAAATTAAAACTATAGTGCGAGATCCCATAAATGAGTGCAGTAGATTTTTTTCCTACCTATGCTGATAGCCTTGAAAGGCTATTTCAGCTTCTCCTTGACGTGTAGGTGAGCTCACGGGGCTCAGACTGGGAGTGTTGCTAACACTGGCCCTAGCAAGACCAGTGCTTCCCAGAATCTACCACCGGATGTGGAACGCGACCCACAGAGAAGATCCGGCGAGAAACTCAGTGGGCTGTGTCTATGGGTTAATTTACTCGTCGAACCTTTCGTCGCTAGCGACGGGTTCGGCGAGCATAGTGACCGGAAAAGACGCATCGAGTCTACGCCATCCAACCTCATGAGGATCACGACCATTTTGTCAAGAGTGACACGATTGAGAACAAGATGGATATATATCATCTTAATGAAAACGCGATAAAGAAGGTATAATCGTTGCGTAGCTTAAAATTGTCTTTGCACGTCGTAACTGGGATTCAGGGTTTTACCTGATTGCTTTAAATCAGATTAAAAGTATATGAGACGGCCATCAATTCTGGATATCTTGTTGCTGAAGCAATGACAATGAGCTTAAAAAGTTTCGCATTCATTCGATTAGCTATCATCTAAGTGACAACAACTTGATGCTCGATCTAAGGTGGGAAATTCCAGTGCCTTTAAATTGTGGAGGAACTTTCTTCCACCTGCAACGCCCGAGTTCGCAGCAGGAACAGAACGATAGTACTGGCCGCTAATTAAGAAGCTTAGAGTCGCACTCTGGACACTTTTATTTTTAACTTTCTTACGTGACAGACATGATATAAGTCAGTTTTTTTTTAGTATAGCAAACTAGGCGTAGAAAACTTTATAGTTGCTCCGAGATAGCATGGCACTGTTGGATATATATTGAGGACTCAGTGCTTAAACCGGCCTCATTAAATTGTACCAATTAATATTAAAATTTTCTTAAATCTAATTGTCACTTTCGCTTCGAAGCGTCAATTTTCCCGTCAAAGAGTTAAGTAATTCATAATAGCGGATATTTACACTGTTTTTTGTCAGTTTGATTGAATTATGATGTTAATGACGTTTAAAATTAATAAATTTAATACATTGAATACTCACTTGCATGTTTCCAGTCGTACTTTCTGCAAATAATTCTTTTCAGGCGCCTGAACCACAGTTCGCCAGTCGCCACTTCTGCTTCGCACCAAAAACAGTGGCTCGAACTGAAAACAAATAGATAATAATAATATATTTAATTATATTTTTGTGATAAATGTAAATTCATTTTCTAAACATTACAAATAATATAATAACAATGATTAACGCGATATTAACATTAAAAGTAAATTTTTAAATGGGTCTACGACTTGCGAACATCAAACGAATATGTAATACTAAACTGAAGTATCGTAACTATAATGATATTTTGTTTTAAGCACACTCCTTTGCTTTACACAAAAAAATTAAATTTGTCAAAAAATGTCAATGTCAATTTCATATTGTGCTACACTAAAATTGTCAAAAAGTGTCAACATTAAGCACACGATAAGACTTTTTGGCGGGAACGCGAGGATTGAAGTTGTGTGATTTGTTTCATTTTGTCTATTTAGTGTTTCTTCAGGTTTGAATGCGTAACAACGGTGGTTTATTAACTGTGAAAGTGCACAAATGTGGGAAAATGAAACAAAACCGCTGGACGTAGCTTCTCGAGATCCTCCAAAAAGTCCAATGAAAAAATCACAGTAAATGACCACCATTTTACTAAGATTATATTTCATCCCATATCATATTATTATATTATCATAACATATCATATCATATTATAATTTTTCATAAAAATAAGAATAGGTATAAATTAAAATAAGACTTGACTTAAAGGTCTTAGTTACCAGGTCATAAAATCCCTTAAAAAATCGAATGTAATGTAAGCACACGATAAAAATTGTGTTAAATTAATAAATAATAGTAAATAAACTCTTTTATTTCGACACATCATAGTCTCAAGTTAATAAGCTTATGAGTTGAAAGCAGTAGGTACGTTAAAACTAATTCCCATTAAATATTTACATTTATATAGGCACAGACATAGCAGTTTATAGCCATTTTATTCTCTGCTTTGTCAATTGATACATAAACATTTTTTGTTTAGTAGCCACGTCACGTCGTAAGGAGCTTCAAGATTTAATATTGTCAATTATAAAATTAAAACATGATTTTTTTTTAAACCTTACAAAAAGATAAAACAGAAGATGAATAAGCGTAAGCACATAAATTAATCAAAATTTTTGAGGCGTCAATAAATTTTTTTTTTTGGTAATGGCATTCATGTTGAAGTGTACGTGCTCCGGTAATAATTTATCAAAAGGTGGATTGTGAGTTATTTCACGGATTCACGTAATTAGGTACCAAAAACGATTTTCTTAGAATAAAAAGCAATTAGCATTAGCATAAGTCTGCTAGTTGTGATGTTAATGTTTAAGTAAACAAGTTTAATGTGACAGCGGTTTATTAATGTGGAAAACGTTTATCAGAGTTCCGAATCAAATTACGTATGCGCGCTATGTCACGACATGATACAGCTTTTCTAAAATATATAAACCTACATACATATTTTTTTTAATTTGCGATGACGTGTCGTACGGTTCTTGGAAACAAAAATCAGGTTTGAATTGTATGTATAAAATGTAAATTACAAATGACATTGGTCATTATTGTGACCAATAAACTGGCGTGTTAATTGGTCGTCAAGAGTGTGTCAGTAGCTAGTGTTTTTAACCGACTTTAAAAAAGCAGGTTTACAGTTCGCCTATCCACGTCGGAAAGCACGGCTGATTTGTGGTAGGAATGACCAGTGGGTGGTAACCCTTTAGGATTCACAACTGCCTCAATAATGCTATAGTATGTAAATCCGGTGTCTCTTAAAAAGGCTAGCTATTTGTGACACCAAGCGTGGATAATGTTGTTCAAACTTGGGGTAGAATATTTACCGTCTCACTACATACATAGAAAACATTTTCATCTCGAGTTTGGAAAACATAAAAAAAAAACATTTTCGTCTCGACTTTGGAATTACGAATAAACTTTATAAAAATCATTGAACGAGAGACCAAATGAAAAACTAGTAGGTATTTGACAAAAACTAATGATACTCAATACTTTTTTAATTTAATTTATGTTTTAATTATTAATTTTAGACGAAATCAATTTTAATGTTTTTATTATTTAAATTCCCGAGGTTGTTGTTGCTGTCTTTATCGTTCCTAATGAAATTGTTAACATTAACAAACCGGTCGCAAGTTTTCCGCTGTTTTTGCGTTTATCGTTTTAGGTATACTAAAGATGTGATAGCGGAGTCGCGCAGGTGCCAATCCAAGGAAGGGCAAATGCAATTATGTAATGATATACCAATAGGGACTCAAATACTAGAGATTCTGGTACCGCCTTTTTCAGATTATATATAATGATACCTATTGAATATTTTAGAATGATTGAACAATAAAAGACTTAATTGCGTTTTCGCTAATTTACTAAGATAACAACATTTAAAGCCTGTAATCTCTTTTTTAAATAGTATTAATAATTATGTAAAACTGAACTACCCTCTACACTGAATGACAGAAAGGTTAAATTGAATTGAATCTGTCCGAATAAAAATATTTTTTTTTTTAAAACTAAGGAGTTTGAAAGGTTTTAAATACTAAAGGTTACTTCTTTCTTTTTTTTAAATTCTTTATCTTTGTTCTTTCTTAGTCTTCGCTTTGTTTCTTTACTATAAACACGCTAGTTCCTCGCTTACTGCGAATATCGACTTGTGCGCGATGAATTACATCAAAGAGGTAGAATCAAAATTAAAATGATTATTTTTCATTAATGATCGCAAAATATAGAGCCCAATAGGAAGATTTAACATGCGCTCGTGGAGATTGGCAATAGTTAGATCGTGTCCATCCACCAGGTACTGTTTCCAACAATCCGCCAAAGTCCTACAGGTTTGTTTTAATGTTTGTTAAAATGACTTTTACGATTGTAAACGAAACCTTAAAAAAAACTATACAGTATTCGAAACATAGGAAATAATATAATTTAAAGAAAAACGTTTGATTCAACCCTAACCCGTACACAGCCCACTGAGTTTCTCGCCGGATCTTCTCAGTGGGTCACGTTTCCGATCCGGTGGTAGATTCTGCGAATTGCTCTTGCTAAAGCCAGTGTTAGCAACGTCCATAGGTTAGAGCCCCGTGAGCTCACCTACTACGTCGACATAGTCTCTCAAGGCTACCAGCGTAGGTAGGGAAAAAAAGTGATTTAAATCTAAAAGTAGCTAATTTACTTTTGCACATACCGTAATGTCAGTCGGGCAGTTATCCTCCGCGTCCGGGTCTCCTTGTCTGTCCCCAAAAGCTTCTATAACCAGATTCGGTTGTGGTTCGTATTCCTGAAACACAATTTTAGGGAATTCATTTATTTTGGGTAACAAACTATACATGCATTGAATATGTTAAACGTAGGTTTTTTTAAAAAAATTTTATTGCCTAGGTGGGTGGACGATCTCACAGCCCACCTGGTGTTAAGTGGTTACTGGAGCCCATGGACATCTACAACGTAAATGCGCCACCCACCTTGAGATATAAGTTCTAAGATCTCAGTTTAGTTACAATGGCTGCTCCACCCTTCAAACCAAAACTCATTACTGCTTCACGGCTGAAATAGGCAGGGCGGTGGTACCTACCCGCGCGGACTCACAGGAGGTCCTACCACCAGTGAAAAGTAAAAGTAAAGTACAGTAAAATCAATTTCCACTATAACACAACACATGAGCAGATAGTGAGCCCATAGCTCATGTAACGATTTCGCATTACAATGTAGGTAGGTACTATGGAATTATAATGAAAATAATCTATATTCATTTAAAATCTTATTAATTATACACTTTTTTTTTTTAAAGATATTAAAAATTCTATTTAAAAAAAATTACTATATTAAAATTGATTGCCGCTGATGGCGGTGCCTACGACACAAGCCACTAGTAATTAGGACTCCAGAGTGAGAAACCTCCTCACAATACGCGCAGTATCGAGGATAATTGCCTTCTGTATCAGACCCCTAACCCAGCTGGATAACGAAAGTTTCTTAAGGTGTTGATCGAATTTTTCGTTATCAATTTATTTATTAACATTACTATAATAAAACTCACGGTGTCCTTAAACATATCGTTGAAGCGTGCCTGTGGATAATCTGGTGGTTTGATGGTGCAGAAGTTTTTGTCCCGACACTCTTCAGGTACGCCGCTGTCCGGACTCCCGTACCGATTACCCACGTCCTGGATAGGACCGGGGTACTTTAGCGGTACATAATCTTTTTCTCCTGGTTAAGAAGAAAATTAGAATTTTAGTTATTTTTAAAATTCGATGTATTATCGACAAATCAATTAATGGATTGGTGGCGAGTCAAATGTTGATATGGTTGTATTATATTATTGTTTTAGTATTGCTGATAATGTTATTCTTAATTAAGATATTTTGCTTTCATAATTAATAAATAAATACGTAACAATTTGTGATTTTATTGAGTTAGTTCGATACGCTAATTAAAAATATGCGAAGCACACTTTGTTTTATATATTTCCAAGCTTCGTTATTTTTAAAAGATAAGTATATTGTTTAATAAGCTTTTTAAATTTCACAAAGCAACATTTACTGAAACATAAATAAACGATTCATTATAATATGTTCACGATCGACTTCCACGGTGAATAATAAAAATGAATAATAATAATAATAAATAATATGTAATAAAAATGAACACCGCAAAATTATAATTTGTGTAATTACTGGTGGTGGGACTTCTTGCGAGTCCGCACGGGTAGGTACCACCACCCTGCCTATTTTTTTTATTTTTTTTTTATTGCCCTTGTAGGCAGACGAGCATACGGCCCACCTGATGGTGAGTGGTTACCGTCGCCCATGGACTTCAGCAATGCCAGGGGCAGAGCCAAGCCGCTGCCTACCGTTTAATACTCTCCACAAGCCTCGTTTGAAGAAGGCGTGCCGTTCTGCCTTGAAGTAGTAATGAAGAAGGCGTGCCGTTCTGCCGTGAAGCAGTAATGCGTTTCTGTTTGAACGGGGGGGGGGGGAGCCGTTGTAACTATACTGAGACTTAAGAACTTATATCTCAAGGTGGGTGGTGCATTTACGTTGTAGATGTCCATGGGCTCCAGTAACCACTTAACACCAGGTGGGCTGTGAGCTCGTCCACACATTTAAGCAATAAAAAAAAGAAAATAAAAAGTTGTTATCTCGATAGGATGTGGGATATGGTTGATGGTAAAAGACCTAGCGAGTGGCGACTCTCACTGGCCCAAGGCTAATCCCACCCTAGTCCTCGTGACAAAAAAAATTACCATACCAAGATCACTAATATGTATTCCTCTTAAGACCGATCTGTTTTCCGACCGACGATTTCACGTAATTCGAATGTTTTTTTAAAGAAATCATCATTTTTTATTCATTAAATATAAATTGCAGATCAATAAATTTTATTATTCAACCGGTTTATGTTACTTTTCGAATGCTTGGTTAAGTAAGATGCAATAATATCATATCGTATGTAAATAGGCAAGAGCGAGACAAAATCCTTAGACAAACAAAATTATATGGGTCGTATAGTTCACAGTAAGAACGCTTGTTTATCAATCAATTAGATGCATTTGTGGCTTAGCAAAATAGAACTTGTTTATTATTATTAAAGTGGCTACAAATTACAAAAAAAGGTCACAGACGGGCGCATCACGATGCTCAGAAATGAGCGATCGACTGAAGGAGGAGGAGGACTTAAGTTTATGGATCTGTCGTGTCTAATATTGCTTAAATGGGTGGACGAGCTCACGTCCCACCCGGTGTTAAAATGTTACCGGAGCCCATAGACATCTACAACGTAAATGCCGCCACCTACCTTGAGATATGAGTTCTAAGGTCTCAGTTTTTACAATGCTTCACGGCAGAAATAGGCAGGGTGGTGGGTATCTAACCGTGCGGACTCACAAGACGTCCTACCACCAGTAATTACGCAAATTATAATTTTGCGGGTTTGATTTGATCATCAAGAAGTAGGATTACTCTCTTGAGCGAGTCTTCAATGAACTAATATAATTTGGCACTACTCTATACTTAAACGGCTTAATCCCGATATGATTATATTCATTTTTTTCATATTTGTTTCAAATGTCGAAATACTAACTACATACAAATACATATAAGGACTTTCATGTGTTCGAATGCAAAGTTTTGTTATCAAGGACGACTAGATTTTATATCTTTTTGTTGCCTTTGTAGGTAGACGAGCATACGGCCCGCCTGATGGTAAGTGGTTACCGTCGCTCATTCGCGAGCGGCAATGCTAAGGGCACAGTCAAGTCGCAGTCTACAATTCGTGAACATATTCCTAGTGAACATTCTAATATTGTGCTACTAATCTATCCAATTATTAATTTTTAATTATTGTTTTCTTTACAGTGTCGGTTACCACGAAAATACAGCCCACTGAGTTTCTAACCGGACCTTCTTAGTGGGACGCGATTCCGATCCGGTGGTAGATTCTGCGAAGCACTGCTCTTGTTAGGGTCAGTGTTAGCAACACTTCCGGTTTGAACCCCGAATGCTCGCTCATTTATACGCTAGGGTGAAGCTGAAATAGCCCCTCCTAGCTATCAGCATAGGCAAGAGATTCTTTTTTAATGAAAATACTAAATATTATGTAATGTGCGATTTTAACTTACTTTGCTTCTTATCAAGCTCCTTAGCAAAGCTTAAGGCGCAGATGGATATCTGAAACAAATTATAAATATATATAAATTAGGTGAATTAAAATTTATTTCAAATTAAGGATAAAAAAAATAGAGATCACTAACCACAGACCTATTTTGCTGTTGTCTATTGGCGTCGGCAACTACTTACGTACGTTTTATAAGGAAAATAAAAACACAATACGGTTTTGCAAGTAGCGTTACATAAAACCCAGTCTTAAACAGTTACGCCAAAAAATCTTAACTTCATTTTACGGTACATAATTTGAAGCAAGGTTGGTTTCTAAGGATTTCCCAGGCGGCATTTATTGTTCTAAAGTAACATAGGACATGAACGTGCTCAGTCCATCTTCTCATGTTGCGTCATGCATACAAAGTATATTAATGTATCAGCACCGCCTATCTATTATACTATCTAGCTTTATATTCTACCTTTTTTAATCCACCTACTGTCTAGTTATGGTAATCTTCTAACATTTTCTCGAAAGATGCGTGAAATAAAACATTAATAAATTTCCTATTTTCTTTATGACTGCCTCGGGGTTAGCGCCCCACATTGCGGCGCCTAGGGTCGTGGGTTCCATTCTCACATCGGGCAAACATTGTGAGATGGGCAGGTTTGTTTGTTTTTATTTGGGCGTTTATTATCTATATATTTAACGCTATGTATTTAACTCTGGTACCGTGGATTGGACTGAATCAAGAAATTCCGTAACGAAAATATCCTGACACCCCACTACGCCTACTATGTAGCTCCCGTTCAACACATTTATACGTTGCGCTGGTGTAGTGTTTGTGAATAAGTGACGTTGCACTGCATGAGCATCATGAAAAGTCTCTCTCTCATCTCTCTCTCACGCGGTCTAGCTTTTGAGCGTGAAGAGGACAGTTAATGTTTTGCTTTTGTTAATGTTTATAAATATAGCGTGGTCTTATTTTTATTATTGTTTTAATATTAAATTATTATTGTCTAATTGTAATTGCATAAGTTGATAAAAAATGCTTTGCAATAGCTTTACCGCGGCAGTCCCCGAGTGCCACACTTTCTTTTTTTATTTTTGTTTGTTAAGTTCACATATGCAAAAATTGTTATTTATGTTAGTCTCACATTGTCTGACATGTTTTTAATAAGCTTTAGACAACTTTCTCTGCTTTTACTTGACTGGCTCTATGACGCAGTAATTAAAATCCCTGATTGCTAGACCGAGCGAGGTGAGTTCGAGTCGTACTTCGAACTAACTTACATATGACGAACAAACTTGTTTACTCTTTGTTTCGGTATGTAAGATCTATTTATCTAAAACATATTTCTTCTAGGCAAAAAAAGCTAAATCTATAGCGATCAATTCCTAAGTAATCGTTATAAACACAGCCTATTGCTATAAGCCTATTGTACAAATGCAATAAGTGAAGCAAGAAGTTGCAATAAGTGTATTATCTTTCTCTGTCTCTCTCTCTCTCTCTCTCTCTCTCTCTCTCTCTCTCTCTCTATATATATAAACACAAGAGAATCATTGCTAATCAATTGAAATATCTACGTCATACTTCAAGTTAATCAGCATTGACACTTGGTTCCGCTGTTCTGTGACTGGAAGGCCTCGAAATCTTTTATTCATTTATGTCAAAAAAAAACGAAAAGTCAACCTTCACCGATGCCTTTAATATTGTACATGTATTGCCAACAACCCACTGTCCAGTGTGAACACATTGCACGTGTATATTCGAATTTCAGAGATCATAACACGTGTCGCTAATATCTACCTATGCTTTGGGCAAACCTTTAATATAATATTATAGACCTATAATAGTTGCATACCAATTCCTAACCTTGAGTTACAAGAATTACTAGTTCCAACGAAACGTTACGTGCTTGCTTATTATAATAATTATAATCAATAAAAAATATCCACCTCATTATACTTGACACGATCTGACAAATGAATAAGTAACCCAGTTTGAAGAAAGGGTATCGTAACGCTCTGGTAATAGAGTTCATTACAGACTTGAGACTCGTTACGAGAAGCTATTGATACTAGCAGTGATTCAAATCAAAGTCAAGATTAAATTAAAATAACAGATTTTCCTCCTCTAGACGAAAGCGGCAGAAACAGTAGGAATAGTGGGCAGAAAATGCCGCAAATTATTATTTATCAATTAAGAATTTTCGCAAATTTTTTTTTTTTGCTTAGTTGTGTGGACGAGCTCACAGCCCACCTGATGCTAAGTGGTTACTGGATCCCATAGACATCTACAACGTAAATGCGCCACACACCTTGACCTTACTTTGAATATAAACCAATTTATATTATAGCAATTAATAGATGCCATTAGGTTTCTTTTCTTCTATTTAGTTAACCATTATCGACAACAATGAAGCATTATGTTAGATGTGTTCGAATTAGCATGAAAGTTAGCCCAAATCAGTTTTCTAATCATAGTTCTCTTTAGGATCAAATATGACCAAAAAAAAGATGGTCATTATCCAATTCAGATCCAACGAAGTATTCTTCGGAGAATGAGAATTAACAGTGATGACTATCCTATATGTATGTGAAAATATTTCTATGACAACAGAGAATTGTAAATAGCAAAAGAGGTCTGTACTATGACTACTACCTATTTGCTGCGCCTTTGCTCACCTAACTGAAAAAATGTATCTATCATAGATAATACACATATTATTTAAATATCTCTGTCTTTTTTTTTACTGCTTATATGGGTGGACGAGCTCACAGCCCACCTGGTGTTAAGTGGTTACTGGAGACCATAGACATCTACTACGTAAATGCGCTACCCACCTTGAGACATAAGTTCTAAGGTCTCAAGTATATTACTTACTCTACTTAGTCTACTATGTTGTGAGATCTGCAACGATTTGTATGAAATAGGTCGCGGCCGTATATCGTGTATAGACTACGGTATGTCAGAAACTTTCCCTGAAGCGCTTAAAGATGCGTAACGTCTCAACTAAATTAGAAAGACGACGCGTGCACAGAACACGGACAAAAAAACAATTTTCCATATTTAATGTACCGTAGTTTTTTCTTTATTTTTTTTTATTTCTAAGATGTGTGAACGAGCTCACAGCCCACCTGGTGTTAAGTGGTTACTGGAGCCCATAGACATCTACATCGTAAATGCGCCACACACCTTGAGACATAAGTTCTAAGGTCTCAGTATAGTTACAACGGCTGCCCCACCCTTCAAACCGAAAAGCATTACTGCTTCACGGCAGAAATAGATGGGGCGGTGGTACCTACCCGTGCGAACTCACAAGAGATACTACCACCAGTAAAATTCATAGATGACGATAGTAAGAGACGAAACCAGTACTTAATAATGGAGCTGCAACTGATTTTAGCGTTATCTATTCGAAGCAATAAAACTTTTGGCCGATATACCGAGTTTCTAAAACACAAAACCGGGAAAAAGCATCACTTAATCTAGCAAAAAGTTTTTGAAAAAGAGATTAGATCATATTATAATATTATATATTAACTAGCCATACTCGCCTGCATCGTTGGGCATTTAAAATTAACTTTATTATTTATTGTAATTATTATTAGGGAGTCCAACACTCATATAAATACTAGCCTATCCATTAAGTACATGTATTTTCTACATGGATACCAAGCTTCAAATCAATCGGATGCATGGTTCAGTAGTTATAACAGAACATCCTTAAAAACCGCTGTAGATTCATATATTAATTAGTATAGATTCAAAATATTGTAAACGCTTTACGGAAGGTCGTGCAAAAATAAAACGTTGAAGAGTAAATAAATACATAAATAATAAATAATGCCACATACACACATATTAAAGTGGGCGGATAATTAAACAATTGTTTTTCGCAAAAACACGCGAATTCTTCAATGTTTATGGTCTATTAGTAAACAATTTATTTGCAAACAAAGAAAAACTTACAAGCAAAAAACAAAATCCGGTGTACATATTGTCGAACAGGTTTTTAGCACAACGTACTTGAGAGGCGTTTGATTTCGTCGGGCTCGCGGTGTGCACTAAGATAAATACGAGACGTTTTAACTTCAAGTAGCTTGGAACCGGTCGTCTCTTTCGTGTCTCTCAGTTTAATTTTCCACACGGAATGACGTTCACTTGATTCAATCAAAACCACAAATGTGTTATTAAAACGCGGCGCTTATGACGCGCTAATTATTTTGTTTTTTCCTACCCTAGTAGCCTCGAGGAGCAGCAGATGGAGGGAAATCGTACAGGAGAAACTGATGCAGCGGGGGAGTCACGACCCGGTAGACCTCACGCGAGGAGGGAGGAGGAGGAGCCTCGAGGGGGAATCCAAGCTTCACTGGACGTGTTGGCAAGATTAGGGGCTTCAGCCTGGCGACTTTACTAACACTAGCCCTAGTAAGAGCCGTGGTTCGCAGAGTCTACCATCGGATCGGAAACACGACCCACTGAGAAGATCCGGCGAGAAACTCAGTGGGCTGTGTTTATGGGTTAATTTACTCGCCGAGCCCTTCGTCACGAGCAACGGGTTCGACGAGAACGATGACCGGCGTATTTTTGTTAGCTTTATCGATGATCGCTAAAAATAAAACGGATCATAAATTCATCTTCTCATCTACGTTTAAATCATAGATTGCTTCGCCGCTAATAGTTATCAATGGACGCGCATTGTGTGTGCAGGGTATTCGTGTAGAACTGCTCTCGAATTTAATTCGACGGACTTCTTAATTATTACTCCTGGAAATAGTGATGTTTATTATGAATATGTTCCATGGGGAGTACTCTGAGGAATTGTTCGAGATGATACCGGCATCTTGTTTTTACCATCGCACCGTCCGCCACCGGAGTAGAGTTCATCCATACTACCTGGAGCCACTGCGGTCATCCACAGTGCGTTTCCAGAGATCTTTTTTGCCACGTACCATCCGGCTATGGAATGAGCTCCCCTCTATGGTGTTTCCCGAGCGCTATGACATGTCCTTCTTCAAACGAGGCTTGTGGAGAGTATTAAGCGGTAGGCAGCGGCTTGGCCCTGCCCCTGGCATTGCTGAAGTCCATGGGCGACGGTAACCACTCACCATCAGGTGGGCCGTATGCTCGTCTGCCTACATGGACAATAAAAAATAAAAAAAACTTGGAGAATAGCTATGTAATATTTTATTATAAAAATAAAACAGACAGAATAACATTGTACTACTTGCAAAAATCAGTCGAGACACGCGCTATCGAAGAAATGCGGTGGGTGTCAGTCAGCTACCCTTGCATAGTGTTGCGGGATTTGTGGACCGAATGAATTTGTTAAAATGTATATTCAAAACTATTCTAGAATTATCTTCGTTTTTTTTTGTTTTTTTTATTGGCGTCTGTAATCGCGAAATATATAATGTAATTAAAATATTATCGCTATTAAACAGTAAAATTTATTCTAATTGTATCTACGACTCGTAAAATCGACTATTTGGTTTTAGCGACTTTTCGTTTAATACGCGACATTCATCTTTGTAATTAAAAGTGCGTTTTAGTTTAGTGAAGAAGTTTTTACGTCATGATATTTTATCCTAATTTTAAACTTTAAATGGTTGCAAAATTGTCGCTTAGACCGCCTTTCACCCCACGATATGACAAATATAATTTTAGACTAGTACATGAGTATTCACTGTTCAGCTTAGATCTTTGGATAGTGTTGAATCTTTATATTAATACGTGCAGCAAAAACTTTGTACCCTTTTTTACAAAAATTGCGCGGACGGAGGAGTATGAAACTTCCCACACTCATAGAGAATATATAGAGGATTGCAGAATGAAATTTTTTTTTAATTATGCATAAAAAATACATTAAATCAATAAAAAAACCTTACACACTACCACGTATTTGACACACACACACACATATACTCGTACTCTTTGTTAATTGTCAAACTTTTGTTATTATTTAAAAGTCTGTGATCATATTGAGAATCTATTAATGCTGTTTGTCTTTAATATTATTTATCTATAGGCGAAATCTGTGATTATAAAAGTATAATAGTCTTCGACAATAGAACCATAATAATGTTCAAACTTATAATTTCAATTAATTATAGTTGAATTTCGACTACTGGGTGACCACTAGTTTTTACTCTTATTGTAATAAGCGTTTACCGGAAACTATCTGGACGTTCATCCTTAATCTATATATTAATACGTGAAGGAAAAACTTTGTATCCCTTTTTACAAAAATTGCGCGGACGGAGGACTATGAAATTTTCCACACTTATAGACAATATAGAGAAGTAGTGCAGAATGTTAATATATTTTTTTAATTATACCTAAAAATGTATTTTTAGGCATAATTAAAAAATTAAATCTTAAATTAATTAAAAAAAACATTACACACACTACCCTGTATTTGACGCACACACGCATGCATACTATTTAATTATTGTCAAACTTTTGTTCTTGACGTCTGTGGTCAAATAGAGAATAGATTAAATTATAATAAAGAAATATAGTCGAAGAATTATAGTCGAAATTCGACTACTGCGGGACCACTAGTCATAATTAGGGCAACAATTAACAAAATTACATATGTAGTTAAATTATAACGTATTTTTCGAACGTTTACATACAAAGGGAAATCCGTTCGGTTGAGTCAGGCGTGGATTGCGTCACAATTCCAATTTTTCTAAACAATTCGTGTGACATAATAACGTGTCAAGGAAACATTTCAACGGGAAAACGGTTTTGTATTTATAGATACATGCAATATGTAAATTTTTAAGGAAGATTCGTTGGCAAAAAGAGTCGCGCGTGCTAATCTGGCTGTTAAGAAATATTTGGTTCTCGATGTGCTTCTGTGATTATTATCAACTAATTATAATAGTTAGACATATGCTGTCGCGACACTTCTTGTAAATCATAATGTGTTCTACAAAGTCGTAGTGCATCATTATATTCTATCATCAATATTTTTAGCGGGGCACGCGAGGTAAAGAATACTTTAGGTAATATTTTTACACCTTGGGGTACATTATTGGAGTTTTAGTAAGGATACCCAATTTTTTCAAAAAAGATTATTGCCTATGTCACTCGGGAATAGTGTAGCTTCTAAACAGTCAAATAATTTTTCATATCGGTTCAGTAGTTTCGGAGCCTATACAATACAAACAAACAAATCTTTCCTCTTCATAATATTAGTATAGACTAGTATACGAATGTATATTATTCAAAGAATTACTGATTTTGCAGCTTTCTTTAAACTTGATCTTAAATTTCCTTCGAATAAAACTTAATGTATGCTGATTAAAATTGATTTTAGTTTTTGATCTCTCGTTTATAGTTCGTTCATGATCACGAAAATTTGCGAATTTGTAGGATGCAAGCAGTGTAGGGCCGGCTGTTCAGAGGAGGGCTAGGCTCAGCAGTGGACCTCTGTGGATCAAAAGACAGAGAGATGGAGAGACCACGAAAACTGTAAAGTATCGGAAACATCGGAAATAATCTAATGACGAAATTAAACGCGAAATTGAACCGTAAAAGTATTTGTAATTATATCTACGACTAGCCATAACTGAAGAAAATATTTTAAACTATCTTAAAACTGAATGCTTAATATACTTCAGTCAAAAAAGTATAGGGAACGGATGTTTTTTTTTATTTTCTAATTTTTGTTGTTGTTGTTAGACAGGCACAACTGTTTTTCATTTTAGTACGGAATTTGAATTCCATCTATTGTTAAGAATAAATAAAGTGTACTGCGAAGTAAGCTATATAATCTATATATATAAAAATGAATTGCTGTTCGTTAGTCTCGCTAAAACTCGAGAACGGCTGGACCGATTTGGCTAATTTCGGTCTTGAATTATTTGTAGAATTCCAGAGAAGGTTCAAAAGGTAGATAAATATGAAAACGCTTGGATTTAAATAAAAATAACAATTTTGTTTTTCCTTTGATGTGTCCCCCGTCGGACGGATTTCTTTTGTTTGTTTTTTAGTTTATTGTATACAAAAGCTTAGGTCTTTTATTTATCGATTGAGGCACTACGAAGTCTGCCGGGTCAGCTAGTAATGGATAAAAACATCGAACAGAGATGTTGTCTTCAATTTTGCATTGCCAATGGAATTTCATGTTCGGAGTCACTGAAAATGTTAAAGACTGCTTACAGTGAATCGACTTTATCAAAGACATGTGTTTATCAGTGTTACGAAGCGTTCAAAAGCGCTCGAGATGTGATGGAAGATTTGCTTCGTTTTAATAAGCTATCAAGTGTTTTTTTTTCCACAGGAGAAAATCGCCGGATCCCCACCCGCACGGCAGGTGGGGTATGTGGGAGTCGAATCTCACTAAAAATTCCTGCCGCTCACAGCCGGCGCCCTACCCCGGACCGGGCGGGAACCCAGTCGGAGCTATTGAGACGGCCGGACAGGGTTTACGCAGAGCATATTACATCCATTCCGCCGTCCCCCAGACGCCGGACCGGCGGCCGCCAGCAACATGACCGCCGGTTCCCTCGGTCGACGGGCCAAGAGCCCGATTGATAAGCTATAAAGTCATGAAGATTTCATAGAATTTGTTTGTTTTTATTACTTTATGGCTTTTGTAGGCAGACAAGTATAAAGTCCACGTGATGATGAATTGTCACAGTCGCTCGTTGACATCAGCAATGTCAGAAGCGCAGTCAAACCGCTGCAAGTGTTGATCTAAGTACTTAAGTATAAAAAAGTTTTGATTTCAATACTCGACGTTAAATCGAGATATCTACTTATGTACAAATGTTGTAATGAATGCGAAACAGGTAAAGATTAATCAAAGGATAAATGGTTTATCCTGAACATGTAAATAATATAGCGAAATTCCATCACGCTTTTATGTTTTGTGAAAAACACAATCATGTCAAAAAATAATACATACGCCATCTGTCGAGCTTTGTAAGACTTCAACCTCTCTTGAAGGGACAACGATCGATGCCAACAGCAACTGTAGCAAGTTTCATAACAATCAGATGAATGTCTTAGGAATGGGAAGAGGAAAATTTACAAATTGAAGTCGCCTCCCTTTAATTTCTAAGATAGTGTATTATTTTAT